GTGAGGAAATCCTAATAATACAGTGAATTGCTCCAAGGCGTTCGCGATTGTGAGGAGTCGTTGATCAGCTTGTGAAGGTTAGAGCGAATAATTATTCAGTGTCGGCTTGATCCCCAACTGAACCGGTCGATGAGGAAAGTGAATGAGATTACTGATAGTGAGATTGAGCGAGACAGACTACTAAAGAGTGATTTTTCCGACGATACCGAGATCTCAATGAAGTATCGAACAGTAAACTAATTGTTACAATTAAATAGTATGCGATATGAATTTAATGTAATAAACTTAATGTCGAATTTTTTTCTATTCGTGCTATGAATATATTGCGAATTCCAAGCATGAATGGCATTATATGATCGTTTAAAACTCAATAGAAAGTTTAATGAAGTTCACTTAGATTTTTGTTTCCTTCGGAACCATCTTACCAAAACAAAGTACAGTTGACTCCCTATTATCCGTCCCCGCTTTAACAGGCCACATTTATGGTGACATGAAATACAGTATATAGATAGCACATTAATAAATGAAACTAAATTAATGAGGTTATTTGTATATTCAGTAACTACCTAGAAATGATAAATGATAGGTACATGTTGTCGGATTAACCGGCCAATCGTTTATCCGGCCAGAGGTCCCGGCCCCACAGGGGCCGGTTAAGCGAGAGTCTACTGTAAACAAATTTCTGCTTCATTTCAATTTTTACGAATTAACCAATAGAATTATATATTTGTATTAGCATCCACAGTCTAATTACGAAATACAATATTTCGGCAGAGTTTCAAGATTTCAGGCTTCAAAGAGAGTCTGCCAGCAAAGCGAATATTTGCGGAATTAAACTGACAAGTGTATTAAATTGGTGGAGAATAAGTAGGTGTAAAGAAATTCTAAAATACTACTATTTATTATTTATTCCTAGGTATTTCTACAAAAATCATTAGTAATATGAGGAATGCTAGTAAACTATTTCAATGACGTGAGACAGCAAATGTAATAAATAAATAACTTTGCGGAATATTGAAAAGAAATTCAGGTCGTACACGATAAATTTTGAACATTAAACTCAATAAAAATACCTAACTAGCTCTTTGTTGTTTGTGGTGTAGCCACAGCTGTTATCTTATCACATTGTCACTTCGTTGTTTATAGATGGTGTTCTACGCACTCTGCTGTATCCACTCACACTTCGCATTGTTTTGTTACGGAATTACGAACTTTTTCAAAATAGGTATTACCGTCACGCGAATTACTTGATGGGTACCGATAATTACATTTAACTTTTATACTGTCAATTTTTCGACCCAAACGTTTGCCAACACAATTACTTTTATTTAGCTCCTTTAATTACAGTGCCAGGCAAATGCTTTCGGACAAGACGCTTTTGCTGTTTTATTTAAATTAGGGTTACCATTGATGTTAGATTAAGTAACAAACGCCTGTCTTAACTAATTGTTATTTTCTTAGGTCGACAACACTACCAAATTTGTAGTCTGAGTGACATTTGTCAAACAAATTATTTTTTTTTATTGAATATACCGGCTGTCCACAAATCGAAAATATTATAGATATTGACTTTCCATTTAAATCGTGTGTGACCTTTTTGTTTAAAAATTTTTGACAAACTATTGCCTCCCACTATCCTAGAATGGATAAAATAAACATATGATACGATTTTCTTCACATAAACTGCATTTTTTTGGAGTCTTGAATGGCTAGACATATTCGGCAGCCAGATTTGAATTCAGCATGTCAAAATTTATAGAAAATGATGTATAACAAGTGAAAGAAAACATTCAACCACACATTATAATGGAAACCCGCAATTCTCTTCACAAATGTCAACTTTGATATTTTTTTATATTTTCAATATTTTTGCACTGCAGAAATAACTTTACGTATAAGACAAAAAATGAATTAAAAGGAATCATCCTTTACAGAGATAAGAATTTTTTGTGAAGTTAGCTTTCATAAATATCGATGAAAAGTGCCAGAGGGTTTGTATCTTTTAAACCATACCTCTATGGTCACATGGACTATAATATATTTCAAAAGTGGTCCGTTTGGCGTGGAATGACTCTTATTACAGAGAATTAAACTCTATTGTATAGTCTTTGAACGAAAGAGAATATTGTTTTGGCTGTTTACTAACCAACTGCAATAAGACCACTTCATTTACGTTTTATACGAAATAGTACGTTTCATTAAAATCTTAACCACCATATTTTATTGATCACCCATGTATGAATGACACATCTTTCAGTCTCAAAACTAAAAATTCACGTTTATAATAAAATGTACAATAAACTACAAATTTATAGGTAAGTCTCACAATATTTGAGAATGTTTAAAAAAATTAGAACTGTGACAAACGCTATATTATATAGTTTCTAATCTTTTAAAGATGTGGGGCTTACTGTATGAGAGTTTTATGGAGCCTTATCTGACTGTTAGGGCGAGAATTTTAATGGTACATGATATTTGTTTACTATACTGTGTATATCATGTGAAAAAATGTAAGTTAACGAGATTGATATGTTTGTGCAACGATGGCAAGACACTAAATTACTGTAAACTGTGTTAAAATATAGATATGTGTGACACACTTGACAATCTAATATAATTTACACTGTTTTTGCTGTTGTTATAATTTTCTTATTAAACAGTTTATTAATCTGTAAAAGCTCTATATTTATTTTCCTTTTTTTCTCTCTCTTCGTTCTTTAAAGAACTGAACATATTCCGCATAAACATTGTTGTTTTATGGAAAATATTACATACTCTCACGTTGACTGCCAAGAAATTTTCACTATACATAGTATGTATGTAAAGATAAAATATTCTATAGAATTGCTGAGTTGATCTGTGCTGTTATAGTTTGTTACAATATCATGTTTATTACATGTTACATTATAATAGTTGTGTTATAGTTAAGTTACAATACCAATGGTATGTAAAAGTTTCAAGACATTATTTATTTTGTATAAGTGTTTTAATTTATTTCTGACCTTGTTAAGCATTAATAACCCTTATGGCGCATCTAGCAAGTGACCTAGATGACAGTGAACGCGTTAAGACGAATTTCCTTAGATATTATTTAGATCGACTATTATAATCATATCATAAGTATCATTTAAAATATAAGCATTTTGAATACTGAAAGATGCTTCAAATTTTCGAACGGTACTGTACAATGTATAATCCTTAATGCAATCGCCACCTTGGAAAAGGAAAAGGAATATTCATTTTTCAATAATTTCCTTGACACTAGAACCACCGACGATAAACGTAAAACGAAAAACGACAACTGTTCGAAAATGTACAAATTCATTAAATCTTTCGTTCACAGCAAATGCAATGTGCTGACGTTACTGTCAACATTCTAATAACCAGTCGTTTCGACCCTCTGGGAATGCTAGTGTTCATTCATCTAAACTAAATCGTTCACCAAAGTATCAACCACAGAGGCAAAAAGGGACAAGTTGCAGGCGATAATGATATCTCAGCTGCAAAGCTGTTATGCTAGAATCTTTGACATTTTCAGGAACTAAAAATCACTTCAGAAACTTGGACATGGAACTGAAGAAGAAAACAATTCTTAGTAGTAAGGTCAAGGACCTTCCTAGCCGCAATTAAGATGAAGTATACCAGAGGACAGTTGATCCTCTATATTCCCGTGTGTGCACGTTCATTGGTGAACAAAGGAGGATACGTTTTGCTCGTCGAGCATTCGCAACCGATATAGGTAAGTACCTGCGGCTACGTGAACTTACACCGTATACGTGAGCGATGCGCATCACGTGCGCTCTTGTGAATGTGAGCCACTCGTACATAAGCCTGGGTTATGTATGCGTATGTACACGCATGTGATCAAATACGTGTGGTCATAAGTCATACCATATAGCGTCATTGACGAACAAAGAAGGAGACAGCAATTCGTTCGGTAATGATCATTCTGAAACGGAAATCGTTATATGCCTTCTGCTCGTGTTGGCAATTTCTTTGCAATCAATTTGACAGTGCGTCATACTCTCGCTTTCCGTGCTTGAAATCTCTCCCGTGTTCTCTTAAAAGTTTACGTGCTCGTATTTCAGTGCAACGTAACTGTTTGCCATTAGAATGAAGTACGGAAAGTAATCTTTTATTATTATCAGATAATAGAATGCAAATTGTATTAATGTTATGCGTTTGATAATTACTGAACTGGAAATTACTACATACATATGTAGGTAGGTACGTGTTTTTTTGTTGCTTGCAGTTATTTAAGGTCCTGTTGGCTTGATATTAATTCACCGTTATTGCTTGGATTCCGTAACTTGATTCTTTTACCTTGTATTTGGATATTTACTCGAGATGCATGGAATAATAGTATGAAAGCGCCAGCAAGAATCCCGGCTTAAAGGGGGAGCCTGGTGTAACCCGCTGAAAATTGAGAAATATTCGGGAATTATTTTTGAAGAAAGTACTTAATCGATCTTTCTCAAATTTATAGGTTGTTATACTACCGCATTATAGTTTATAACAAAATTTTTTTTATTAAAAAACGATGACAACTAACAAAGGTATGAGAGCTTTCTCCCACTCTGTCGGCGACACACTTGTTTCGCTGCGTGCAATGTACAGTCTGCTGTATGCGTCTGAAATCAAATATTCAACAAGATTTTTTTAGCTTAAGAGTGTACGCATAGAATGAACCCAAATATAAATTAATAGAAACAAAATTGTATAAATTGCAGCCTCTTGAAGAAAAAATTAACTTTTTTCGGTTAAATTTTGCCGTAAATATTTATAAAAAAGTTATTTATTTAAACAATATCATTGAAAAAATAGGTTCATTCTATAAAGAAAATGTTCACGAATATCTATGCAAAAGGCCAACTCAATCGGTTGAATGCTTTTGGAGTTACATTATATGCAAATTTGAAAAACGTCGTTTCGAGAAAAACACGTTTAAAGTTTTCGGTGAAGATAAATAACAGTATTCGGATACTTACAGCTGTTTCATGCTAATCCGCTATACCAGGCCCATACATTAGACCCTCCTCTCCCTCAAACTCTTCAAGTAAGGTCGCATTCTTTTGACGCTCTTGTCTCTTCAGCCGCTGCGCGTCGTACACGTTGGCGAACATCTTACATTGTTGCCCAATCACTAAATCCAACTCTTGCATCAATTGTAAAACAAAACTGTACCCCTCGTTAAATTGTCCAGCAGCTAAGAAGGAAGCGATTTAAACAATTTTGAAGCCGCAATTTAGATGCTTAGGTACCAGTCGCCACACGGTGGAATTAAAACTCTCATTTGCGTTCTGCGTATGGCACCCTAAGCATCTTTCTAACAAATCCAGACGCGACAAATCTTTATAAATTGGAAGAATTATTTTTGAACGTCCGGATGAAGTGCAGGTAGGTGTCTGTGGTTTTTTATATCATCTTCAGCCTCTGCGATGCGCCATTTACACCACGAGTCAAATCCTGCGGGACAGTTTTGATGGAGCGGCTTTTTGTCGGTGGAAATCATATGAAAAAAAGTGGCCATTGTAGCCTTCTGCATTTCTTCAACAGATTCGGAATTCCTTCTTATGGCTAAACCATAATACTTTGTCAGATTTTTAATAAGGGCCTCTGTTAGTTTTCCTTTGCCTCCAAGTTTGGCAGATTGTCTGACAGTTCGCAGGCGACTTCCCATCCTTTTCTCGACGTGACCAACGCATTCACTTTTTATTATTTTGCAATCATCGCCATAAGGTTGTACGTCTAAAATCGCTTTGAATGTCTTCGAGTCCCTGTCTCCAATATAATTTGTGTATTTCACTCCAGACTTCTGATCAGATCTTGAAAACATTTCAATTATAGAGTCCACCTCCATTTTTCCTATGGAGCCGTGATGATTTATAGGACTTCACTTTCATGATGTTCAAACTACAACTTATAGTCATCAGTGTTCTTTTTCTTTTCCTAATATGTGCAAGCTTGGCAATAACTTCCTTTCACAACGATATCTATCACTTTACCAGTGTAATATCCAATTATCGTAGTCACACCAACGACGAAATAAATTTTCTCATTGTGGTTAAAAAAGAAAAAAAACAAAAAATCTATTATCATGAACGGACCGAGAAACGGAGCAGGTCACACTGCGCCGCGCGCTTTCTGGTATACCTGCGTCGTCTACTCCGTAACAAAAACGGCTGTAGCAGGTTTAATTTTTTGAATTTCGTTCTGTGATTTTGGGATGACATTTTCGAGGTGTTAAACTATCGATTTATGAAGAAAAAATCGATTTTTTTGACCCGCTACACCAAGCACCCCCCTTAAGTCATTTTTTTTTCTTAATACATTATGTTGCTCTTACCACAAAGAGAGAAAATGACAAAGGAACTGTTAGGGTGGTCCCTAATTTTCAACAGTCGATTTGTTTTACTCTCACGCCTTAATATGGTTCCATTTTATTAAAAAAATGATCCCTGAAAAAGTTTATTTCAATCGGATAACAGGAGAAGGTGCGGACCCAGCCTCAAAGTTTTGAATTTGTCGATGTTTATGAAGTTTACAAAAAATTACTCAAAAATGGTACGTCTTATCGAAATTTTGTTCAAATAATATTAAAAGAGCGTTAAATCTTCTATAATTTCTTCCAATATAACTTTTTCGTACTCCCGTGCATTTTTAAGATAATAGCGAGTAAATACTGTAAAATCTCCATTGTAAAAATAGTGAGTCTTTTAATTTAACACAATATCTATTAAGAAAAGAGAATATAAGGGGAACAGTAAACAGTATATTATATTGTTTTATTTACATTAACCTTAATTACTACTTCTTTATAATAACTATGAAAATAATTGTATTAATGTATATTTTCTAGCATCTAAGTAGCAGCGACGATAATCTTGTATACAATGTGCAAGACAAACTACTTCTGTTCCTGGCATTTTTAAAAATATTTAGTGTAATCAAGCATTAACTTACCTGCTCCCTCTCCCTCTCCCTCTCCCTCTCCCTCTCCCTCTGCCTCTGCCTCTGCCATGCACATCTTTTTCATTTGCTATTCTACGCAGTTTCCTTCAATGCATACCGATTTGATTGTTCGTACTATAAGCGCAGCGCGTAGCCAACTCTAACGCGGGAGTTCAGCCGGCAGACACGCGCTCTGATTGGTCGAGGATTTTCGTTAATATATTAACAAAGCTCCAAATAATTTTTTCACTAAGGAAAAAATTGTTTCACATCACCTCAGGAATCACTCCTTTCAAGGAGTTACAGCATTTTTAGGACACCCTGTGTACATCTTTGTATGTACTATCTTGGCAAGACATTATAGGTAATACATACGTGTGTTACGACTCGTTTTTTATGTGCAAGAATTTGGTCACTATCATAACGCGGTTTGTAATGTAATCTAGTAAAAATTATTTTATTTTAACATTCTTTTTAATTTCTATAGAATTAAAAAATTGTCAATACTTTCTCACTTTGTTATGAAAACATCGTCGATTTTATTCGCTGATATTATGCAATACTTAAGAGAAAACTACATAGGGAAATAAAAAAACTCGACTGTTAGGAAATGTATAAAAGTTTTCTGCATATATGTAAGTACCCACTTGCGAGAATCGGTTGCTTCGCAGATCTTTTTGTAATTGTAGTGGATATTTTTACGTATAGGAATCAATTGAACAATCGGAACCGAATATTGTCAGTTGACATATCGTACAATTTGACAATCTTATAGATAATGTATCCCCAAAGCTTCACAATGCTCCGCATCTAGTAGTTTTACTATAGCAGTCTCAATTCTCATTATAAACTTAAAACTAAAGATGTCACGAAATTCGTGCTACGCAAAAGTAGAACAACAAAAGTGAGAAAGGTAGTTATTTTTATCATTCAAGAGCGGATACTTTTTCTTCTGGAATATTCGTTATAACAGTCGACCAATTTGCAAGATATTGAGAAAAATGTGTTTCTCATTACCTCCTTTGGGGGGGGGGGGTCCATATAACACATGTTGAATATTTTTCAATGTACTAACCCCTCTGCCCAATTACATTAAATTCGACGTGTTTCACTTAAGGTAGCTCACACGTTTGGTGTCGTATCTATCTGGGGCTCCAGATAGTGCTTTATACTGTTTATCAATTTTACCAATTTAATTTGAATCATTAATATTTTAAACTTATTCAAAATACTGAAGTGGAAAAAAATTTACAGAAAACAAAGTACTGATTCTATGTTGGTTAGACACAGTTTAAGAAAAAAACACTTATTGCAAGCAAAATACTGATTCTGTGTTGGTTAGAGACAGTTTAAAAACAGAAATGTTTTTTAAAATTTCTTGAGGTTTCTGCACAAAACCACTAGTATCCTTACACTTTTCTATTGATTCTCTACAGAATGACACCCTGCTCTTCGGAATCCATTACCTTGCACGGAATGAAATTGAGCCAAAATTACTAAACAAAACCATCCGTAATTTCAATCCTATGAACATTCGTAAGACTTAAGAAACTGACATTCCTAGAACATGCAAAATTTAAGTCCTTAGAAAATCCGTAGGACTTTCGAGACAGACGATTCTAGAACATCCGAAATTTAAGTCTTGTGAACATTCTAGGGATGTTCAAAATGGACGTAGGACATTCGGATATAAACTGGACATGAAACGGACGAGCCTTTGGATGTACGGTGCTATCTAGGTATCCAGATAGAAGAAAAAGTTCAGACTGGCGTACTGACAATATAGGCTATATTGAAAGATGCGCTTACCTTACTTTTCATTACGGGACCCTGAAATAATAGTGAAAAAGACCTGCAAGAAGTTACTTATTAGATACTTTTAATCGACAAATCAGGTATCTCAGATCTCATACTTTCACAGACGGTAAATTGCAGTTTAGATATATCCACAGTTACCGCAGGAAGATAAAAAAAGTCACATTTTATTTCTTATTAATAGGGCACAAAGTTACACGTACTTTAAAAACTAGTAAATTAGTCCTAATATTTTAATGTACATATGTTGTTTCCTTATTATGAAGTTCGCGTTCTTGTATTCAACGTGTACTTGATTAAACGTAATGTATTTAGGTACCCTGCTTGAGAAATGTTTTAGTAATATCGAGAATAAATGTGTTGCTCGAAACTGTAAGCTATGATGATCTATCTTGTACTCGTATAATTCGTTGTAGAAAGTAATAATATGATTCAGAAATTGAAATAAGTATCTTCCTCAAAAGTATTTATCGTAGAATATTTGCTTTCGTTTGCGCCGAGTGCGGTTTCTCGCTTGCATAATCTGAATCTTGTTTACGCGAATGCAATCACTACGACGATGTCAGCCGCAATACGCGAAAGTGCAACGTAGAACACGAAACTGTGATCTAGAAGAAATTCAATGATATTAAACTTTTGTTTACCGTGCAAATAATCATTTTCGTTATATGGAAAACATCAAAGCGAGTTATTTTAGGAACGATTATTTAATCTGAATTTATAAACTTACGATGTTTATGAATTTTTATAATTTCTGGTGTACGAAGTATTACGCTTATCATGTATATTATTTTCTTCGTAACATTATTTTTCTTTACGTCGCAGTAAACAGTTTGATTACCATTGAACATAAAAATGGTAGGCAGCGTTTAAACACGCTTTGTGTTTATTACATCTGCATGCAAATTTTATGTACCCGTACATGTATTATGTAGATGTGCAAAATACAGTGGAATTAAAATTTAAATAAATTTTAGAAAAGTATTTTCATAACAACGTTTGTGTAGAAATGTGAACAACATCCTGTACATAATCTGTCTCTGTTATTACAATACCTATATATAATTTAAGATAGGTATAGTAAACTATTATGTATAAGACATTTATAGTGAAATATAAGCGAGTTATACATCTTGCGTAGCAATTTACACAATTTTTCAACTTTTTAAAATCTTTTATATAAATGACTTCGGATACTCATATATGTATGATACAGTAGCGGCCATAAGAAAATTTCAAAGAGGAACATACTAACATTAATAAGTATTTGTAAGTAATCCAACATAGATGATGTAGATTTTGTAATGACAGTCAAGTTATCACAAATAATGTGGACTTTATTATATTAGTAATAATGAATGGTAAAACATTATTTCAGTAACGAAATATATATTACTATACCGTGCAGTTTTTTAATATGCTATTCAATGTAGATATGTAGTAGACAATACCGATGAATTTATTATTTTTCATTATTATTATCATGAAAGAAACTTTAAATATATTTTTCTCTTTACCACATGTTTTATCAATAAATGGGTATCTGTCACATAGTACGTATAAGTTCTTCCGTGAATATCACTTATATGAACTTAGTACTCATTGTTTAGTTATAAAATAATTAATGTATGTTTAAGTACTATATAAATACGTAAAATTTTTAAACCTTTTTTTGATCAGCATTGTATAAATGGTATATATTTTAAACAGTCATCTAGGAAATTTCATAAGTTATGTGAGGAAAAATTATATCCGAATTTAGTAGTGCAAAACATTTCACTTCATTCAGAACTACTGCAAATTCCGTCGGTAAACAGAGCATGAAGCTGTCGACAAACCATGTCTGCACGAAGTATTCTCTAATAAAGTCGA